TTTTTTTTTATTTTTAATATTCAGGTTTAGTTTGATTTTGTCCGTATTTTCAAACTGTGTCAGTAATAGTTGACGCTTCTCCTTCCACAGTACGTGTTGAAGCCAACCTTCACAAAGCAGCATATTTCCGGCCTGGACAAGCAGGGTAAGCTGTACAGAGCCTACGATGGTACCACCTACCTGCCAGGCATTGTGGGGCTCAACAACATCAAAGCCAATGACTACGCCAACGTGGTGTTACAGGTATGAATAACAACGATACATTAACATCTGTCCATCCATCCATGATCTATACGCCGCTTAATCCTCACTAGAGTCGCGGGGGAACTGGAGCCTGTCCCAGCTGACTTAGGGCGAAGGCATCAACTTTTTAAATAACGCCAACCATTTCAAATTTGACTCTTCTTCTTAGGCTTTTTCCAACGTTCCACCTTTGCGAAACTACTTCCTGGAGGAGGAAAACTACAGAGGAATCCGCAGACCACCGGGGGACATCATGTTTCTCTTGGTGCAGAGATTCGGCGAGCTGATGCGCAAACTTTGGAATCCGAGAAACTTCAAGGCCCATGTGTCTCCCCATGAGATGCTGCAGGCTGTCGTCCTGTGCAGCAAGAAGAACTTCCAGATTACCAAGCAAGGTAAAGCTTCAGATGACCTAAATTGTACTGAACAGCCTCAGCGCTGTCCTATGGAGAATACTTTGTGATGCTGATTTTTGGGTTCTGTTCTGCAGGCGACGCTGTGGACTTCATGACGTGGTTCTTGAATGCTCTGCATGGTGCTCTTGGAGGCACAAAGAAAAAGCCCTGTGAGTGTGAGAACAGTCCCACGGGTTTGGACCCATAAATTTTAGGACCTTGAATATGCAAATCAAGCCTTTTTGTGATTGTGATACTAAAGTGGTTCAGTTGTAATAATGTACATGATATTTCTATTTTTTCTTTCTTTTTGGTTGAATTAAATTTAGAATCAGCATTCTGAACATTGTAAGTGTTTTCTGTATCATTGATTGTAAGAACAGTGCCAATTAACCTCTGTCCTTGTCTTTCTTTGTGTCTACTACAGCAATCATTACCAAAGCGTTTCAAGGCTCCATGCGGATCTTCTCCAAGAAACTTCCACACCCAGATTTAGTGAGTTTCCTGGTTGTATTAGCAAATCATTACATCTGGTATATGAATAAATTTAGTGATATTAGTTCAGTTTGTTAGTTAGTTTAATTTCCTTTTGAATTGGTTTTCTTGTCAAATATTGAAAAATGTTTGACAAGAAATATCGAAAAATCTAGTTTTTCTTATACAGTGTTAAATACTTGGAACTAAACTAAAGAAATTGAGGAGGTAATGGTCAAGTGCAAGGCGAAGAACAGAAAAAATTCGATTCTGTTTGTCGACAATAAATAAAAAAATAGGTGTAGCCTCTGGGTCTAAAAAGTTAAGCCAGTGTAGACCTGCATTCTTTCTTGATGGCCAGCAGGGGGTGATGTCTAGCTCCAAAAAGAAGTCAGTTTGCACAGAAGAAGTCTAAAATGACTATACTAATCACTCAATTTGTTACCTAAAGATTTGTTGCAACCCCCAACATTTTTTCTAATAAATTTATGGTCTCAGATGTGATGGTTGCAACATCCACTATTTTAATACAGTTTCAGTTCTTTTTAAGTTTTTTGAGAGAATCCACATGGTGTTTTTTTTTTGTTTTTTTTTTAAACATTTCCAGCCACCAGAGGAAAAAGAGGCGCTGCTGGTGACGGAGGAGTACCAGGAGCAGATGTCTGAATCCACCTTCCTGTTTCTGACCCTGGACCTCCCAACAGCTCCACTGTACAAAGATGAGAAGGAGCAGCTTATTATCCCGCAGGTCCCTCTGTTCAACATCTTGGCCAAGTTCAATGGCAGCACAGAGAAGGTAGCGTCTCATTCACATTCCTCTGCCTGACAGTCAAATGTAAATACAGTCAGTCCTTAAACAAAGTGTCTAAGTAGCAACTAATTTTATCTAGATCTGTGATTGACTCAACTATTATTAGCTTAACAGTGACTGTGTACTTGTGCTCTTTACTGTTTTGTTTGCAATCAGGAATACAAAACCTACAAAGAGAATTTTCTTAAGAGGTTCCAGTTGACCAAACTGCCTCCGTACCTCATCTTTTGCATCAAAAGATTCACCAAGAACAACTTCTTTGTGGAAAAGAACCCCACGATTGTCAACTTCCCAATCACGTAAGTGCTATTCAAACAGTGTATGCAGCCTTCATCATAGTAATGAGTGGTTGTTACTCCTGTATAATGTAACTCTTGCATGTTTGTGTATTTTGTCATGAATATGGACTAGTTTAGGTTGTCACTTTATATGTGCTTCAACAGGAATGTAGACCTTCGTGAGTACTTGACAGAGGAAGCTCAAGTTACAGAGAAGAACACTACCTATGACCTTGTTGCAAACGTAGTGCATGATGGGAAACCTACTGAGGGAGCGTACAGGATACATGTTCTGCATCATGTAAGTTGCAGCCAGACACCTCTGGTGAATTTAGCCAATAAAAAATCAAAACAATACATTCCAGTTTATTTTCAATGAACTGCTGTTGTGTAAATATAGTTAATTATAAATGGCTATAATGTGTTTGTGTGTTTTAACAGGGGACCGGGAAGTGGTACGAGATGCAGGACCTGCAGGTGACGGACATTCTCCCCCAGATGATCACGCTGTCAGAGGCTTACATCCAGGCAAGTCTACCTGCTCTGTTTAAGTGTGTTGGAAAATGCAAATATTGGAAAGCTCCATACTTTCCTGTGCGACATTTACAACACACTTAAATGTTCCTCTTTTATTAAACTCAAACCTGCAGTGTAACAGATAGTTGGAGGACTGAGCTCTTTAGTCTCCCCCTTCTGGCAATGACAATAATTACACAAACACTGTCAACACAGGCTTAAGATGTCATCTCTTCAGTCACATTTTTTTTTTTTTTTTAAACTGTCGTCATTTTTCTAAATGCATAGTTTCTTTTTGTCTGGAGCATCACCAACTTGTCTTGGATGCTTGCTTGGTGTTTCCATTACACTCTTTGTTGCTGTAGCCTTCTCCGTCTTTGTTGCTGTAGTTGCTCCCCTCTTCAGCTCAGGCAACTCGGTCATTGCTGATGGATATAAAACACTTTGCTACCACAGAAACCCGACTTAAACTTTGGGGTCCTGCAAAATACAAAAAGCTTTCAACTGGCACATACATGTTGTAGCAACATTGTGTGAGCTTGTTTGGCAAAGCTCACACCCTGAGGACGGATGCTTGCGGCACTACGCGTGGGTTGTGACCCAGCTCTATTTCAACATGCACAAGGATCGTGTATGTTTGTAGAATTTCATCATGAAATAGCCATCTGAATAAATGCTTTACTGTTTCGGACATTCTTTTGCTTGTAAAAGTCCCTCACTCCAGCTGGAACTGAATTGAATTTCAGATGTGATTATAGTTTTAAAGTAAAAATGGACGTTGATCCTAACAAGGAACCCTAGATTTTCTAAATGTAATTTATTTTTCACTCACAGATCTGGAAGAGACAAGGGAGCGGTGACACAAACAACCACACGGGGGTGTAAGTGAGGCAGCATATTCCTCAGTTTGAACGGCTAGAAGTTTCGTCATCATTTTGGAAATAAGCTGGGTATTTAATTGATCGACAATAACAACAGAAAATTTAATGAAAGTGGCAAGATAACATCAGGACTTTTTTTTTTAAATAGCCACAAAAAGCAAATAAATGTAAATGTCTCCATGTTTTTTTCACTGTTTTATCTTTTTAATATGTGGAAGTTTCTAAATAAACCACCTCCAGAACACACGCCTCTTAAGTGTATGTTAAACTGTAACAACACACGTCATTTTAGGAGTTTTATTTGTATGTGGTCATTTGCACAAGAAGTCATGATCAGAAGAGCACTATGGTTTACAGAAGAAGCAGTTGTGTTGTGCAGTCAGCAGTCCAGATTGCTTTTAAGATATACTCCAAGCTCATTTATGACTAACACAATATATATCAATGTTTTTGGCAGTTTTTACATTCATAAAGACATAGCTGTAGTTATGACACAGTTCACAAACCCCTTCAAAGACTGATGTTTCAAACTGAATCCCAGCCAAAGACCTGAGACTCTTCATGCAAACTGAAATAATTGATGATGAGTATCTATGGCTGGTTGACTGAGCATTACATATGGCACGGATAATTTCCCCAAAAGCAAAAAAAAAAAAAAACAAAACAAAAGTTGATCAGTGCATTGCATTTAAAAAAAGTACATTTGATCAGTGAAGTACATTTGTAGAAAGTACATCTTTGCGTGCACATAGTTTCAGTGCTTCGGGCAAGTTGTTTATTCATTCTTCGTCCACATGTATTTCTCACAGAAGGCCCGATTCTGCAGATTAAAAACACAGAAAGAAGATGTGAAACCGAACTTATGAGTCACAGAGTTACAGAGCTACTTCAAACCGCAGTACTGTGTATGTCGGTACAGAAGAACTTGACTTTTCACAGATCCTGATTGTTGCATTCTTGATTAGAGCTAAACATTAAACTAGTAGCCTACACAACAGTTTATCAAGTCCTGTAAGAGTACAGACTGTGTTTGGTTTGATGACTATGAAGTGTCACACTCAGGCAGCGGTGAAGTGTTCAGATAATTTACTTATGTAAAAGTGCTGATACCACAGTGTTTACATGCTTTATTACAAAAGAAGTATGCAAGAATTATCACCAAACTGTGCTTTTCAGAAGTCACAGTACTTCATCTAGATAGAAATGTTGCCTGTCAGCAGTTTGCTCCTCCATGTGTTGTATTTTACTGCTGTAGTTGTTTACGGTTGATGTAATTTGAACTTCTTTACATACTCTGGGGTAATCTAACCCACTAAGGTCTCTGTTTTGTGAGAACCACACTTCTCCCAGAGGCCAGCTTGTCATGAGCTCAGCTAATCCAAGAGGTATTTCTTAAGTTTGTACATATTAAGAAGCAGGAGAATGTTCTCAGCCCATAAAGGGTTTCATTTAAATTCAATATAAATATAAAATAACCAAATTTGTGGATACAAGGTTTTCACTGGACAGGAAGAGTATATGAATTTGTAATCTTTTAAGTCACTATACTTGCTATATTGTAGTAAAGTTGCACAAAATAGAAATACTTGTACCTAAACACTGACTAACTGTACTTCGATGTTTTCCACCGCTGCTCTAGCCAGTGTCAAAAAAACGTTTACTTGAGATACACGTTGTATATTGGCTGGACTGACCTGTTCAGTGCTTTTACCGGCTAAACTACCAATAATACTGAATTTTTACTTACTCCACACTTCTGAGCAGTTTCCGTGTCTTTGCACCAGTAGCTCGGTCCCCAAGTACACGGATTCTTTCCCAGCGACTCCACCTTCTTGGAGGCAGCACACAGAGAAGCTCTCTGCAGGACAGACGAGAGACAAAACATCCTGAGAATGTGAACCACACAGAAGAATGATAGTTGCTGCACTGCATTCATGATTGGTGGTGCATGGACTAGAACTCCTCATGCACTTTAACAATACGTTAACAAATGAACTGATGTTTGTGCATTTCTTGGCCAAATGCTGCTACAAGCGATGGTAAAAGTCAGTGAGTCAGTTTGAACCCTGCTGACTTTTTATGTTACTATTCAGACGTAGACCTACTGACAGGATGACTACTGTGAAGAAAACCTCTAACTGAGCTGTAATACTGTGTCTTTTAGATTAAAAAAACTTTTCCTCAGTTTCAGGGAGATACATCAATACATGTATCACCTTTAGCGTATTCTTACTTCACAAGCGTGCGGAGCGTCCATCTGGTTTCCCAAAACCTTCAGCAGCTGTGAGCCGTAGATTCTGGTGAAAGCATCGCACTGAAAAGACAAATCGTTAAAGCATCTCTCTTCTTAGTTTACCAGATGAAAACTCCAATAAAAAACATTTTGATGATTTATGAACATAAAGGAACACACGGGGGTTTTAGGGACAGCATAATCAGCTGAGTAACTGCTACTTAAAGTATTGTAGAAAACTGGGTGATTTGTGAAGAGTTGGAAGAGTCTTAGCAGGAGCTGAGAGTCAGACCTTGGGGATGGCATTCGGGTGACTGACGCACACAGACTGCAGGAAAGCAGAAGTCTGAGGTTCAGTAGCGTTGAGACCGTGGTGCAGACGGCTCAGCGCGGCCAGCGTACGGCACGAGTCGCAGTCCGAGGGGACGAACACCTCTGAGGGAGATGGAGCAACTTGGTGTGAATGAGGACGTGTGAAGTTTATGCAAATGACCAGATTTATATACGTATGTGACTAACCTAGAGTGGGCTTCTCTTTGAACAAGCAGAGGTGTAAAAGACTGCATATGGTATAAGGAGCAGCAGAGGACAAAAGGAACTCCACAATCTCTGCGCCGTATTTATCCACGAAATCATCGCACTCCTCCTTGTAGCTTTGAGGCAGAAGATCGCAGACCTCTTCCATTGCCTTTATTATAGTATCCTGCAGGGCGAGAAAGAGAACATGGTGACATTTAGAATATTTGATGGATGTTAAGGGCATCTGAGTGAATGTAACGGGATATGAAAAATGATTCACCTCAGTCATATTTTGGGGCAACAGAGCCTCCAGCTTCTTGACAAATAACATACACAGGGTGCAGACCGGGTTGTATAGCCCCTAAAGAGAGAACTGGCATGTAAATAGACTGACACAAGTTGTACTTCTAGTTGATCTTCTGCTTTTTCACACTCACAAGATTCTTGGTGCCTGAGCCAACTGCAGAACTGGATCCATCTTGATTGGTGATGTGGTAAGTAGGTTTCTGCAGTTCCTCCTCCTTGTGGGCGGCACAAAGTCCAAAAACCACACAGATCTCACCTGGTTTCTATAAAAAAAAAAATATTACAAATTAACATGATTAGATATTACCAGGATTTTTCCTTGCAAAGAGATTTTAGTCAGAGCTAAAGGAAAATCAACAGCTTCAAAATCATACGAGTTAAGAAGAAAGTATTAGCCAGGTTTGGTATTCGAGGTTTTATTTACTCAAACATATGCTTACGTACATGTGCAGTTGCCTCTTAAAAGCCTTTTCTGAGCCCGGAAGAACCCCGATTACCATGCGAGTACCACTTAAGCCCTTAGTGTTCATTGTTTTTCTAAGTATAAGTCTAAATTGAAGTTAAACTCACCAAGTGGCCAGGTGTTTGCTGCAGGATTTTTGGCAGATAAGTCTTCACCTGTGAATCACACTCAGACGCCTGATCTCCGGCGAGGCGTTGGCACAAAGCATGCAGTGTTTCATACACGATCTCCTGCAAAAGCACAGCAGTCGGTTGTCTGTTTTGTAGCAAGGATGTTGGTTGTCTGCTTGTGTGGAAAACATGTATTTGTTTTATCTGACATACAGTCGTGACTTGATAATCTGACACTAAATGTAAAACTTCTTTTATGTCGGATAGCAAGGCTGTCGGATTGTCAAGACAGAGGTCGAGAAACAAGGAGGGCTTGATGCTTGAAGGGTGGTTTGTTGTTAATATTTATTGTTCGTAGTTGTTATAATGAGTGTATTGTTAGAACACTACGCATTGCTGGATGGCACGTTCCGGCCACTTCCACCCTGATGGGGTGGAAGTGGCCGGAATGCACAGGCAGCACTTGCCTGCTGATGCCAGTTTAGTTAGCGGTCACACTTCTGTTTCCACCATTGGAAGCAGCAGGGGAGTGGCAGATACGCTCCACCGTTACCACCCATGTTTACTTCTGTAAACACGGAGCACACTCACTGTGTGTGACATCGTTGTGTCCTCTTCTGCGAATGTGGGACACTTTTGGGTTGTATGAAGTTCACACAGCAGATCACATACAAGTCGCATTTAATTGGAAAAGTGAACGAACTCGCAAAAAAATCAGAATTGAGCATTAAGTCCTGCAGTCTGAACGTAGCCAATCTGTCGGATTGTTCAGCCAGAAAATACACTGTTATCCTTATTTGTGACATAAAATGTCATGTCAGAATCCAAGGCTGTCAGTATGTTAAGGCTATTTTTCATGGATTCCACTCATTTTTCCTATAAACCTGTTGGACAGCAAGGTTTTCAGATTGTTAAGGGTCAGATTATCAAGTCACGACTGTATTTGTCAAAGTGAGCGAATGCAAAAGAGCTCGATAAACCTAAAGAAATCTAATTTTAGTGCCATGACATTTAAATATTGCTAATTTCTCTCATTTCATACGCTGTTCCAATTGGTAATTTATCAGAGATTATTCTAATGTTTCATATAAGGTTTAACTTTCTGGGGTAATACAAAAGCTGACGGGTGTGGCTGCTTAGTTTCTGTATTCATCACTTCTGCAAATCCAGCTTATGTGTCAGTAAAACAGTGAAGTGAAAGTACAGTGAAACTGAGGTCAGTGAGCCTCTTACCTTGGTATCGCTGCTGGAAATCATGTTCTCAGACAGCTGGATGATCTGGCTGCATTCTGTGCAGACATCCTGTGTCTGATGAGGAGAGTCCGCAGTGAGAGAGGTGGTCAGTTTTTATAAGATATGAACAGTAAAAAACACAAATCAACACCCGTTAGTGTTTCAATCTTTTGAGCAGATTGTGTAAAATATTAAATTAGACAGCACTGACATATCTATTGCTACTGAATACATTTTAATGATATAGTATTGTAACCTTTTGTGTGGGTTATTTTTAAATAACATAGAGCTTACCATGGATTCCTGTTTGATGAATGACAAAGGCTTTACAATAAACCTGCAGTCTCCTTCAGTGAAAAGACACAGACAGAGAAATGATGAGAGAGAGAAAAATCTGTTCTGAAATCGGGCTCAGTATTGCTCAGAATTACAGCTCCAGCCCTTGTTGTTGTTCATAAATGAGCCTCATCTATTACAACAGAATTAATGGCGACTGGTCAGGTGATGCAGATATTAAAATCGTTCAAAATCCGTCAGTCTTACCGGGCCACAGAGACACCGTGAACACCAGCAGCATGAAGCCCGCAGCTGACATGGTTTTAACGGAGCGGAGGAGGAAATGAGACGCGGATGATTCTGGTTAGAAAAACATCAGGAGCTGTTTGGGCTGTTTGGGTCGCTCCGGAAACACAAGGTGATCGTGTCACCCAATCAGAGCGGCGTGCGTAATGCGCAGGCGCCGCTATTAATAATTAAAGGGCCCTGCTGGAAATCTCTTCCTTGTTATATTTCCCCTGCAGTGTTAAATAAGCATAAACCGACAGCCACTATGTATTCTTTCTGTATACTATGGAAAAAAGTATATCTATATTTTTTAAATTTTGCAATGTGGACACAACCTAACAGTTCAGTATATTAGTTTCATGATTTGTATGTGATCTATCAATACTGAACAGCATGTAGGATTTTTAAAAATTAAAATCTAACCCTTCTTTGTACACATAAGGGGACAAGTGTAAGTTTTTCTAACCATACAACATCTCTACAACAGAATAGACAACATGAAATAACCAAGTATGCACCAGATGAGAATTTAAAATATGTAGATGGACATTGGAGGCATAGATCAGAGGTTAGCGACGGGTCACACATCTGTGAGGCATGGAATTAATGGGTTGTCGATGCTGCTTGGTGGACATTTGAAGGGACAGGATCACGTTGTCTGACACGTCCATCCAGAGCTTTCTGAAATGATTTTTTTTACATGACAAATTGTAAAGTTGTGGACATTCAAGTGTCTGGCTGCAGCTCTAACTGACACGCCAGCATTCAACATCCACCAGCCTGTTCTCGTCTTTCTCCTGTC